TGTCACTATCAGTTGTTTCCGCCTCACCAGGCACTACACCATGCCATTCCGACAAGATGGCGTCGGTTCACCAGCGCATATGCATCCGGAGATTTAGTGTTGCAAAAAATGGGGTTGGTAGTAAAAATCTGTATGTGTATGTCCGAAAGTATATTATATATTTTTTTATTTTAATTTATAAAATATACATGCGCCATTTATTTGTGACAAAATTGTCAGTATTAAAAAATTGCGGAATTAATGAAAATATATTATATTATACGTTATTATAAAATAGCTACTTGCGTAATATACCATGAAGCTATCAAAAAGGCACGATGACTATTTAGAGTGCAAAATTACAGAGACAACATCCAATAAAAAAATCTTAAAATTCAGCAGCGCATGTTAAGAGAGAGAGTTTAAATTGTACGAGCCTTTTTTAAAAAATAAATCTTCAATTTTATTCCAGGTAAGTCTTCTATTTTCGCGGCATGAGCTGAATCCTATATTAGATCGCGTTTGCCAGTTGAAGGCTCATTAGTTGCATAGGGCTGTTAAAGGGCCATTAGCCCGCATCCATCTCCCGACAACGCAAAGTTCGATTCGCGATCTTGCTTATCTCGGAGCGGCACGGGCCGGCTATTTTTGCCAGTAGCGGTATCCGGGCGTTATCTTTCGCGCCGGTACGTTACCGATAATGGTGGCAGTCATTCGCGGATGATACGCTGAGATAGCAAAGGGCGATAGGCGAGGATGGAAAATGCGGCGGCGGCGGCGGCGGCCAAAATCCGGCTAATGGTTTCACTGAATCAAATCGGAGCGGCCGGCGTTTAACGGGGCAAACAGACAGAAAATGGAGCGCGACCGCATATAAAGAGTCGATGATAACGAAATGATATATGGCGACCGCGCGCGCTCGCTCGCTCGCTCATTCGTTCGGTCGTTCGTGCGAATGTATATACAGGGAGGCGAGAAATGAGCCAAACCCGGCGTTGCCTTGCCCTGCCCGCCCTCCGATTTGGAGGCCCTTTCGCCTCCGCGATACACCCTCTATGTAATGCGACTTCCATCCCCCTGGCTGGCGGTGGTGATTGATCGGCGTGGAGATACTGGACGATATTCACCGCAGGATTAAGTGAATGCGTGGCCACTTAATAATCCTTATATTATATATCCCCCCTATTTTGAATCGAGTAAATGTGCGGGTTTGCGTTGCGTTTGTTGTCCGGGCGTCAAAGAATAGGGCTACTGGTAAATGGTAATTTTGTTGATGATTTCGAGATTAGAAAAGTCGGAAGAATAATATAAGATGCGTTGAAGCGTACTTTTTTATAAATAGAAAGACACAAAATAAGTTTCATGTGCTTTGATCGTCATATTTCGATTAGCTTGGATTCTATAACTACGTGAGAAGCTTTAATAAGGCTAATGCGACGATTGAAGTGGAAGTTACGCCAGTCCCGTGAGAGAAGGAAGTTCACGGAGAAACTTAAGAATATATGTTTCCACTGTCGCGCTGCCTATCGAAGCGTTGCTTGATTATCTTTGCCAGGTAATGGCAGGATAATCCAATAGTGCCGTCTGATAATTATCGATTCCATTAGCTAAAGGTGCTATAAAAATCCTTCCTTCTGGCAAGATCTTATACTCGGCAGCAAAACGAACATCCTCTCTCTCTCTAATTGGATATAAAATTCCTCTTGATAGTAACATATGCGCATCGTATAATAATACTGACATTAATGTATTTTTAACATAAACTTGTTGCTTTTAATTTATCTCGTCAAAAAGTTTATGAAAATCTGCTGTTCTTTGTAAATTTAGGCTTTTTACGAAAAAAACTTAAGCTTTTGAAACACCAGCCTATAAAGATTTGGCGTTTAATAAAAAAAGTCTTTTATAAAAAGATTAATTTTACAAAAAGCCTGCAAAATATCGTTGATTATGTATTTTTATCGTTGATTATGTGTTTTGATTTTTAGTTTAATTGGTTAGAACATCTTCATAAAATACTGATATTAAACATAGAAATATAATTTTTTTATTGCATTTAGGAAGGTATTCTATTAACAAGACGTCCCATTTGCACAAATAAAGGTTACCAGAATCTTTTATTTCACGAGAGTTTCGAAAGATCCATCTAATTTAATGATACACGGTTCTGTTTTTGAAACAGTTACAAAATATTTGTGAGAATATTAAACATAAAAAATACACTTGACCTGCGCAAATAAAATATCTAAGAATATTTTATTTCTCGGGAATCGGAACCGCTGCAGCGAGCGATAGCGGAACGAGAACGATTGCTTTAATATTCAACGTTCGTAATAGCCGGACATGAGGTTTAGGATTCGTTCAATTATTCAAATCACCGCCTCGTTAGGTCGGTCTAAATCGAGATCTCGGTTATGTCCGGAGGTTGCCTGGGAGGAAATCTAAATTTGCTCGTCGTGCAGTTAAATGTTGCATTGGCTACATACGAAAGCATAATTTATGCATGTGCCAACCAGGTGCGAGGCCGCTGATATCTGATCGATAGCTAGCGCTACATTTGTAATCGATCGAAATAACATTAAAGACACAGCGCGAATATCTCCTGCTCTCTATTAAGAGTATTGTTCTTTTGGAAAGAAATTTTCAAGGATCTAAGAGAGAAGCCAAGATTCTTCCTCCGCGCTGTTCGTTCGCGCTGGCAGCGAAAAGCTTTCCTAGAGACTTTAACGCTCGTTGCCGAGCTTTAAATAATGCATGAGCAGTCAGTCAAAAAATAAGCGGCGAAGAGACCCGGAAGGGAGTTCTTTCCTTTCTCCTGTCGGCCGGCAGTCGGCACACCGGAAATGAGAACGTAGACAAGCAGCATTCATTTCTGATTCAAGCCAGAAACATTCGCCGAGATACGATGATAGCTCGATGAACGTGGGGTGTAATCGTGCGCGTAATCGAGGGAGCTCTTGAGAAATTATTGTAGTATTTCCTAAGCAAAAAAAAAAAAAAACACATTAAACTTATTATATTTTAATATAATATTTAATAACAGATAAACGAAAAATTTTACACTATAATAGTAGTTATCGCAAAATCGAAGGCGTACTTTATGTTGAGAATGAGGGTCTTGGTCATTTTCACCCAGGATTGCCTATTAGTGCTTAATCGGTGCCTGATTAAAAATTACAGATTAAAGCTGCCCCGCGGGAGTTTTCGAGCTGCCCGGCACGGCTGACCAAACCGTAACTAAGTTTCGTACACGCCCTCGGGCTGTGTTGACTAAATTTCTCGAGCAGATAATCACGAGGGTGGCGTGTATTTCTATATCCTTGAAGCAAGAGGAAGTAAGCCTGGCATGTTCAAACTTTAATATAAACTCTTTGTGTATTAATTATCAATCCCATTTAAATCTTATGGCATAAAACTATACTCTGCCGCATAATTAATAGAAATATTTAAAAAAATATAAAATATCAGATTTTCTTTAATATACGTATGTATTGTATTAATTCTCAAAAATTTTTCATACAAATTATAATATACTAAACTAATATCACGAGTTTAAAAACATTTGTGATGGCTTCTATAAAGCTTAAATTCTCTATAATGTTTGCGAAAATAGAAAGAACTTAAATTATTTAAAAAGATGGCGTTTTTCCCTCGCTCTCTCGAAAACTCTCGTGACGTGCATGTCAAGAGATACATCTGGCTGGATTACATCGTTCATTTTCTCACACGCGCGCCCGTACGATTAATTGCCAGCGAAACTCCGAACCATGGGTGCGCGCGTAGTCGGCGAGTATTTAGCATAAAATGTAAAATAAGCCGCGGCTCGAGCATAAATTGTATTCCCATTAGGAGAGTCGCGGGGCGCTAGTCGGGTGAAGGGGGGGTACATTTGAATACGAGCGGATTAAAAATTAAATATTACCGCGGAAAGGGCTGGCGATTAGAGCGCGCACGGCAGGAATGAAAAACCGTCCGTATACGCGAAGGGCGGTGGAAAGGCAAAACGATAGGGGGAAGGGGAGGACCGAGCAACGAAAGTTGCGCAAAATAAAGCAGACGGCGTCATGGTCCTTTGCAAAAAAAAAAAAAAAAAAAAAAAAAATTAAACGCTCTTTAATAATTCGCCATCGAGGCAACGAGGCGTTGTCCCGATTCGACAGCGAATTTTTTAACAGCTCATCCGCACTTGAAAAAGGATGAGATATTTTTCTGCTTCTCTATATCAATAGCGCTTATTAAAGATAAATTGAAAATTATTCTCTTCGCGGATAAGCTTTGCGGTTAGATAAATTCTTTAGGATTTTCCAATGCGAATCTCTATCGAGGCACGGTTGATAAATCCGCGAATGCAAATATAATAATCGTAGCTGCAAATCACTATACATTCTCTCGAGGCCGTGATATCGCCGCGGCTGCGGCGCCATAACCATTTTTCACAATTTCTGGCAGGCGGTAGCGGCTGCGGCAACAGCAATGCGAACCCGGCACAAGTGGCCGTATCTCGCGAGCTCTCTTTCTTCTCCGGGACATTAAGGCCCGGAGCGGCGCGAGCGAAACGGTTAACTAAGACATCAGTCATAATACGCGAGACAACCGGATGCCGTGGCAGGCTGGGGGCGTAAAGGGTCCTCGTAACTTCTCGTTTGCCCAGCTTTTGTTTGCGATACCCCCGCGCACGGCCGTGCGCGACGTATCTCTCTAACGTCAGAAACTGCCTTTATGTCTCGACGATGAGATCCGTACATCAAAGTTTATAGGCTAAGAACGAAGACACAACGAAACGAGGTGTCGTTAAACTTGCGGCGAGATGCGACTCGTGAATACTCGATTGCGCGAATGATCATGGAAATGTAGCGCGTATAAATGCATGCTTTACTTCAAGAAACTTTCAATTTTTTCGAGGTGCAATTAGAAAGATATTTCATATTTCGTAAAAAAGATGTTGAATATGATATGTACACAGACAAACATTTAGATATTATAGAGAAAATATATCATTTAATCAAATTTTTATTATTTTACAGATCGAGCAGCGTTGAACATAGATACGACAAGAATCAACTTTAACGCAACAATTCTGTAAGTTCCTTTTGTTTATAAAATACACTTATATTGCGAATCGGCACAATCAAATTCGTAACCGTCTAATTTTCTAGCGTTAGCGCTTACGATAGGCCGTATAAGATAGACAAATGCGTTCTGGTCAGTTGGGAAAGGCCGGGACGGGAGAGGGAGATGAGAGATTTACAAGTTTAGTTACCGGCGATCACACCCTTGGGACTTGGGCTTGATGGGACGCGCCGGCTATCGATATGAAGTTCGGCAAAACTCTTCGTATACCAGAGAGCTGATAACTCTTTCCGGTCGAGCGATTGTTATATAGTTTGAATTTCGTAAAGAAAGATGTTGTGTGTGTCGAGATAATTGTCATTAAAATATTAGCGTTGAAAACGTGAGACGCGTCCCGTAAAGATGTCTTCGACATCGCCGAAGGATTTACGTGAACTGGAATAGCCCGGGTTCCGTCGCCAACAAATCTCTCCTACTTCCTAACCGTTACGGATAGCCGGCCATTAGAGTGTCATCTTTTCCCACATTTATGAATGACCAGTCGCGGATAAGCCCTTGCGGAATATATCGCCGTAGAACCGGCGTACCGTGCGCCGGCGCATTTGTTTGAATTACTTTATATCCTACAATTTTTTATTATCAGTATCTCCTTTGGCCATACGTGCCCATGCTGCACGAAACCGCAGAGTCTCCTCTGCCGGAGAAATATACCGCGTTCCCGTCTTATCTTCTCTGGCGAAAGAAATCGCTCGTGCGTATATATCGGTTCATGAAACTCACCCCTCAACTTCAAGTAGCATTCAATTTTCACGAAACGAGAACGAGAGATTGGGACATCTTCTTCAAACATATATTTATCTCTTATCTCATATTTACGAAGCTTAAGCAAACTATATTTTACAGAAGATAAATTTTACAGACGAAAAACATGATTATAAAAAAATTTAGTTGTGCGAATAAATTGAAGAGTATAGGGATAATTTTCAAATTATATTGCCATTTCATGATAATATTTTACGATAATATTTTTTGAATGTTGCCAAAATGTTACGCGTGAAAGAATTGAATGTATCAACCGACTGTGTCAATTTCCCCGACGGTACTGTGCATAATACAGCGTCAGTTCGTCCCGACGATAGTCCGGATCGTCCCGTTCGGCGGTCCAAAACCGCGTCGCATAATGGGAAAATTTGCGTAAACGACGGGGTCATTAAGCGCCCCCTCTTGCGCGCGAATGTGCGTGGCGGTCGCCAATGTGGAGACGGGGCTATAACTCGCGGTAATACCAACCTAACCGTGTACCCATGATTATAACGCTGCCAATTAGTCAAGCCGGCTTAGAATGGCAACCGTGCCCCGGAACAAACGTCTATGTATACATACACATGTGCACATGTTCTCTCTATCTCTCTCTTTCGCCGTGTAACATCCGCCACGATTCGATGTGGGAGCATTCCCGCATATAAGAATGGGTACTTGGAAATATCCAACTTTTTACAATGCAGACGAAGCCTAATCTCTTATTAATTTTTAGCTTTGATGGAATTTAAATAGCGTCCTCGAAATTTCTCGTTAATACAAATTTTAAATTTTAAAGTCGTGAAAATACTTGGAAATTTTTGCGTTACTTTCCGTTTAATTTCTTTATTTTATCTAAATTTGTGATTATAATATGATGATATCCTTCTCTAAAAGGAATAAACAATTTCAAATTTATTTATGAAAATAAATGCGGCGAATATATTTCGACGTCCCATGTGTTCTGTTTGTAATAAAAGGATTAAGATCCGAGCTTTGTAGTGAGTAACGCGTCATTCTCCGCCGGTGATTACATCGTCGTTTCGCGATACGTCGTCGTGTTTCATGCAATGTGGGAGCAGCGGCAGGGCAAGTTTAGTAATTATTTAGCTAAATTGCGAAGCACTTGGTGCCGCACGCGGCGCGGCATATGTTTGTAACCGGGCGAAAAATCTCTGAATTAATGCTCCGCCATTAATTACGTTTATGAGTCCAAATTGTCTCGGTAGCACGGAATTTATGCAAATGTAGTTTGCGAATTCGACGATCACGTCTGCGGATGCCAGAAAGCGCCGTGTGCGCGGCCTGGCCTAAAGCGCCAAGCGTGTCTGTAATTTGCTACATAACGCGATACGTACGTGATGCACAGTTGCAAACATCCCAAATATAACGATATCGTATACAGTTTCCTTGTTTCGAGAAACCTTATATATATATATATAAGCTTCCTTTGGAAGATAATTCTATGCGCACGATATAGAATTTTGGAATAGGTCATGTGTGAGAGAGGATTAATATAAAATATTATTAAATGATTATAAATCACATTAAAATGTTTCTTTTATTTTGTCATATTATTTGTAATTAATATTATAAGTTTAAGTAACATTTTTATTATATCAGTTCAGTCTCTCATATTCATATATTTAATTCTCGATGTTGAAAATAATGAATTTAATGCTCTACTTTCTACCGGGCAACAAACAATCTTCACAGATAGCTGACCAGCGCGATTTCGCGCGATATTAAATTTTACAGAAACATACGATTGTAGTAGGCTCTTGTTTTACGCTGCTATCCAAAGGCAGCGTTGCGATAAAAATTATTTAGTGCTCACTCGCGCCTGACCTCTCCCGTCAAGCGGGAATCAGATTTCCAATCCGATCAATCCGACAGGTCCGACTGGCCGGTTAATTTTACTTTGTTGTACCACTACCGACTTTTTTGCCTTACCGGTGAGAGCGGCCGCTGACAGGGTAGGCGAACTGACGTATTCCGCACGACGGAGCGGAACGGAGCGACGGCGCTTGGAATAACGTGCCCTTAACGAATCCGCAAATTGAAAATTTCCGGTGCGGCCGCATCGCTGATTTTTAAGAGGCGATCGGACGCCGCGTTTGTTTTCGCGTACATCCTCTCCGCAGCCCCGATTCCAGAACACCGGCCCACTAGCCCGAAGCTACAGTTTTCTCTCTCTCGCTCGTTCCCTTTCGCTCTCTTTCTCTTTCTTTCTCGCTCTCTGACGCGCCATAGGTATCAGCTGTTTAATTAATTTCGCCTTGTCCCGCGCAAATGAAACGGAGGAATATAATATGCGATCTGACGCGCCGGCTTTAAAAAACATCCGGCCACGTATATTCGCGCACGTTACATCGCGCGTTGCCGCTTGTTTTTCGGAAAACGTTTTCAAGATAGACTCGCGTATGTTGTTCAACAATAATTTCTTGATGAAAATTTTAAAGGAACGAAATTACGCGAAAATTAGTTTCTTTAGCTCAGAAATAATATGGCATATATTACAGTTTCCAAATTACATATATGTATTTGCCGATATATATTGAGACGATAAAAATAAAAATTTAATTTTTCTTGCAATCTCTCAGTTTGCAAATTTTAGAAATTAACTTAAATTAGTGTGTAGGATGCAAATATATGTGTAAAATATATACGTATTACGTTTGTATCAAAAATGCTTTAATCTCTTTAATCGAAAATTTGTCCACCTTTCGATTTGCGTTCGTTAATCGAGTACGGGCGGGCGACAGCGGGCGCTTTCACGGCTGTCCATCACAGCGGCCGCTATTAGGGTAGCTCTTGTAAAGTATGGATTTGGACCAATCGTATAGATGCCGCGGGATAGGCACCTATCGCGTGTTTCGAGGACGCCGCGGGCCACGCTCGATACCAGCTTTATTAGTTCGCGGTAATAAATCAGGAGACAGATCAATTTTGCAGTGCCTCCTCCCCCCACCCTACATCCTGATTTCCGTCCTGGGGACATCAGATACAAAATTTGCAGCTCGCTCGTGCAAACTGCACCGACGTTCCTTCCGGTTTTCAGCTCTGTTATCGAATATTCACGCTGCCGATATTTCATAAAATTTTTCAACGATATTAAGCATCGAGTTTACGCTGTATTTGAGTTTTTCAATATCGAGAAAGAGAGTTATCTCTTCTTCTTTTTAAATTAAAATTTATTCTTTGTTTGATGTTGATTTTACCTTTGATCTACAAATTGCGCTCTCGCGTTTAGAAAGCAAGTTTCAATATCGCATTTATATCTGCATTGTTCTGACAGCTTTAAGAGATCACGCGCTACAATCTTTTCGAAGGCTTTTTTTTTGGAATATTAACTCTCTCACACTTTTACACCGATGCGAAACTATAGCGCAAACGTAACGTTGATCGTATCGTTATTGCTTTTTACGTTTACTTTTCATCCAAACTATAACAGAGCGCGGCAATTGAATTTTGCCAAAGCCAGACATCGCTCGTGCTCTCGCCAGCGCGAGAGCTCGCGACATCCGTCAACAGTAAAATTCAAAGCGGCAACTTTTGGAAAAATATCGTCGCCCCCGGACGCGCTCGAAAGCGCGCGTGGCACAAACAGGAAGGTAAGCTCGCCGTTTGACGTTTTTCGACGGGTTAGTACGACGACACGTCCGGCACAGAAATTAGCGTTACCGTGCCCGGCGCCGTTGGTTAACGATAGGCAGGGAGGGATGGATGTGAAAAGGGCAGGAGGGAGGAAGGTAGGGAGGGAGAGCTGCGTTCGCGAGGGTGACCAGGCGGATGGCTTCCATATACATACATCGACAGGCGCACATCGATTATATGCTCGATTAATTCGCGACCATGCCGAACCCTTGGTCCGTACGTCCGTCCATCCATTCGCTAACCCGCTCGGCCGTTTGCTCGTTCGCTCGCTTGCTCGCTCGCGCGCTCACGCACACACACGCGGGATCGATCGCGCGCGTGTGGACATACGCACTTAGCGTTTGAAACTTTGCGCCTATTGCCGGCAAAATTCGCCAGCAAAAGCAGACCGCTAAGAACATGATCTCAATTATAAAATCTATAATCTGAATTTCTAAATTAATTATAATGTAATTATTTATAATTTTATCTATATTAATTATGATTATTATTAATTTTTTTATTTATTAATGTAGAATGTAATTTATTGTTATAATGTAACACTAGATATCTAC